TTTAGGGTTCCTGAACCCTAAACCCGGTTTGAGAACAAGTCCCCAGGCTGGGAGCACCCTCGGACCGACAACAACGCCCTTCCCGACGCCCCTTGATACCGCGGGCCCCCCGAGGCCACAGCAACCTTCGACTTTGAGCAATGAGGCAAAATACAAAGCAATGATAGCAATGATAATGACAACAAAACAGATCATAACAATAATGGTCATAAGAATACCAATAATAGTAACAGTAGAAGAAAAATAAGCAATAGCAACTTAAGAATAACAACAATAATAACAACATTCAGTGGGTTCCCACTACAAGTCCAACTCTGCTTCCCTGCGGCGATCCAATTCCTCCTTTGCAGGCCTAGAATGATTCAAAACCCTAAACCCCCACGCCCCAACCGCCTGAAGCCTCAGGCCTAAACCCCGGAAAAAAATGAGAAAAAAAACACAAGAACGCAAAGCCCTTGAACACCGAAGAAAACCCTGTAAATCCCAAGAGCCCAAACCAATATCCTTGCAAAGAACTCTGAGAGAAGCCCCAAACACCCATAAGCGCGGCTGAAGGTTCATAGTCTTAGCAACGCCTAAACCCGATTTAGGGTTTAGGGTCCAACAGCCCGGACGCTCCTCGCCGTCCAAAGTCAACTCCTTCCCAGGCGCCCCCTCGCGGGGTTCGAGCCGGAGCTTGGACGCTACCTGGACTTCGGAGCTTCTGGGGCCGGGTCTTCAAAGGGGGGGTCCCTTTTGAACTCCCTTGTCCGTCTGTTCTAGGTGTTTCCTTAAGGGTGGAGTTTCTAGGGATTTTTCTGATTTCTGTAATAATGGTCCAGGGGATTGGTGTGACGGGTTTAGGGTGAACGGCCCGGAGAGTCTTGTTATCTTTGAGAAGGAGTGCAACAGGGGTTTCGGACTTTGGGATTGCGGGTTTAGGGCTTCAGGGTGGTAGGAGTTCGGGTTTGAGGGTTGAGGGCTTTGCGATGCAGGGGTCTACAGTTTGGGGCTTCAGCTTCCTTCAGTAGCTTCAAACTGGCGACAACAAGCTCGTCCGTGCGTGCACTGAAAAACAGCTGAAGCCAGGTGTAATGTAGAGAGAAACCTCTTGAGCATAGAAGCTCAGCAACACCCGATCCCGCCGATGAATTCCGTAAAAGCTACCCTGTCAAGCTATAGGTCATCTAAGAATCCAACATAGGGGTTGGGAGGATTAGTCATAGTAAGAAAAACCATGTCCCCTTACAGTCCTTCATAGAGCCATAGTACCCCAGATCCCAAATCCCTACACCCTAAACTCTGACTCCTGATCCCAAACCCAAATGCCCGAGCGCACGCCTCCGTTCGACCTTCGAAGATCCGAACCGTTAGCTCAACCTCGGAGTGATGCGCATGGGTCTCGCACTTTACCCTGTAAAGCCTGAGGCAAATGACTGGTTTAAGGTTTTCTGGCTTCAGCTACAGGGTGTTGGTATCGCCAATGGGGTTTAGGATGGCTTTAGGGCTCAGGGCTGAAAGTGAGGTCGGGTTTAGGGCGGTTGGTGGGCAGGGTTCAAGGCTTGACAATGATTTGCCGGGCACTCTACGTCTTGCAGGACGGCATGTCTTTGGGTGTCCAGGTCTCTTCCCTGCAGGCAGGAGAGGTGCCTCATACTCTCTTCACAAGAACGGACATCCTGTATTCAATGTCCTTGTGAAGTTGGTGCGATAGATGAGACTTCTCTTCTGACTGCTGCGAGCTAACAATGCCAATACTGCTCGATACTGCTCTTGAGATTTTGTCCGAAAAATGGTCGAAGCCACCTCTCATGTTTCCTCATGTGGCCGATATACGACTATGTCGTCCCGGTGCTACGGAGCTTGGCCCTTCCAACGCGATTTTGTATTGTGCAAAGTTGTCACTATTGCCGTCGTTGCCTCTGCAGCAGCAGCGGAAACGAGGACGACAGTGACTACGCTGAGACTAGTTCTCGTCACTTCAATTGTCGGGGCGGCCACCGACATCGCTATTCAAGGTGTGCTGTTGCATCATCGTGCACTGGTAGCAAAGTATTCGGCCCCTTTGAGGTGTGTGGATGTATATTGATATGTATACTCAGGAACCCTGAGGAATAGTATTAGTTCAAGCTTCTTTATTGTCCGCCACAGCTTCCCAGCAATTCCCCCCCTTGGAAAGCCAGACATGGGCCACGGGCCTCTCGGATCCAGTAGTTCCTTGGGCTGGTCTCTTGGCTTTGCATTTTAAAACTTAGGGTTGTTTTGTATCGGCCGTTTTTTAGGAAAGGGCGCGTAACAAAGTAATGTTAGGGTTCAATGTTCAACGTTTACCTTAAGAACCCAAAACCCACCTTTTTTGTAGGTTCTCATTATAAACCCTGATATGGGATTTATAGGGACCCTACAAAAAAGTAGGTTTTGGGTTCTTAAGGTAAGAGTTAGGGCTTGGGGCTTAGTTCAGCTTCCCCGAAACTTCAAGGGCTCGCTGCGGGCGCACGGCCTCAACACCTCCATAAAAGCCTCCAACTTGCTGCGGGCAGCCAGCCCGCACGGCCTCAACACATAAAGCCCGCCAACTCGCTGCGGGGGCATGGCCTCAACATCTCCATAAAGCCTCCAACTTGCTGCGGGCAGCCAAGCCCGTACGGCCTCAACACATAAAGCCCGCTAACTCGCTGCGGGGGCATGGCCTCAACATCTCCATAAAGCCTCCAACTTGCTGCGGGCAGCCAAGCCCGTACGGCCTCAACACATAAAGCCCGCTAACTCGCTGCGGGCGCACGGCCTCAACACCTCCATAAAAGCCTCCAACTTGCTGCGGGCAGCCAGCCCGTACGGCCTCAACACATTAAGCCCGCTAACTCGCTGCGGGCGCACGGCCTCAACACCTCCGTAAAGCCTCCAACTTGCTGTGGGCAGCCAGCCCGCACGGCCTCAACACATTAAGCCCGCTAACTCGCTGCGGGCGCACGGCCTCAACACCTCCACAAAAGCCTCCAACTTTCTGCGGGCAGGCAGCCCACACGGCCTCAACACATGAAGTCCGCCAACTCGCGGCGGGGGGTTGCTGATGCAGCAAAGGCCAACAAATTCAGACGCTCCTATAAGGACGGGGTTGAACGGCTGTGCTGCAGGATTCCAGTTTGATAACTCGGCGACTACGGTAAGACCGGTGAGACATCGGAGCCATGGTAATATCGGGGCCTTTATAATTTTAATAGGGTTTTGGGGCCCACTATACTATAATGCTAATAAGGAACCCCCTAAAAAGTATTGGTAAGTATTTAAGCCCCTACACTACTCTCCATAGAGAGGCTACGCACCGGTGCAGCATGCCCGGAGCGCCGCAAGTCCAAACCTCAAAACCTTTCGCCTCTGGCAATTTAAGAACATGGGAGTTTCGGAAATATGGGGGGGGAACCTAAACTTGGGGTCCTTGTAATAGGATCCTACTATTTAGGGGTACTACGTTAGTGTCCCCTATTTTCGGAAACCCCCACATGGCCCAGTGACTTGAGGCTGGATACAAAGCGGAAGTGCCAAAGGACACTCCCGCAAAGCCTGCGTGCACAAAATCTCCCAAGCCGGGTGACAACATCTACAACGTGTCTTGCCTAATCCACCTCCAGCACCATCGAGACGAAACCTGCTAGAAACTCAAGAAACCTCTCCTAAGAATCCCGAAAGATCTATAGGAGCCCCGGAGCGCTAGAAGACCAAAAACTCTTCGCACTCTCCACCAAGTCGCGGGGCCAGGTAGTCCTTGCGAAAAATCTCTGTGGGCGCCTGGACGGGTCTCGAATCTTGGGTTTATGAGCTCAGGGCACGCCTGATGGCGACGAGAATCACGGTACATCGCCGTGACAAGCATGGCAACAACGAGAGATTTGATAAGAAGTGTAAAGAGGATCAACCATATGCTAGCAGCAATAGGGGCAATAATCGGAATGTTACCACCAATGGCTTCATCCATTGCGAATAGTCTTGCTACAAGCCTCACATGACGACTCTGTTGGTGATTTTTTCACACAGGCAAGTTTTATCTGCAACTAAGCAACGTCCAAGCAAAACAGCCAGAAGCAGCTGGGAATACCAAAGACAAACGTTGGAATTTGGGGTTGCTGCAATCTGCTTGATGGCCATGACTCAACTTGAACCTGAAACCCTACATCAACAAAATGTAGCCTTAATTCGGGCGGCCCGGTCTGCTCTTCACAGAATGCTGAACCCTAGACGACTAGACCCTAGAACCTGAACCCCACAACCCTAAAACCCTAAACCCACCCACCAAGAAGCCTAGCCTCAGAATCGGCAGCCATGGCCGCGAATTACAGTTCAGGTGACGAATTAACTTTCAGGTCCCACCAACTCCAAAACAAGCCCAGGCCAGACAATGATAACAAACGAATTAATGATTAATGGCAGTAGTAGCAGTAGGATTGCGAAGAATAGTGAGCCGATGGTATACATCAGGAAATCTGAGTTGCAAAATGCTCGGTTCAACACCAGTATCTCAGTACAACATCACATGCTTTGTGTGTCTACAAGAATGGCTTGAGCTCCAGTTGAGGGCACTTCAGGGAAAAACACATGTCCGTCGCGGCACTTTGTGAATCAGCATTTTGGGGCCACAGGGTGGAGTATCCTCGTACTCCTAGTTTTGACTTTTGGGGTGCCGAACGTCGATTGAGACCCTTCAACCCAACTCCCAATTAATTCAGGGAATGTCCTGTCTTAACTTACGAATGCATTGCGAGGGAGAATAGAAGACTATAAACTGCTTTCGCTCGCCCAAACCACCAAGCTGAACCCTAAGCCCTACTGTATGGCCTTGACAAACAGAACGGGGGCTTTGATCTTTGTCTGTTGTTATCATTGGCAACCGCGAATCTTCTCTTAAAGACCGAATTTCTCTAAGCCCCGAAACCGTAATCCTTTCGGGTGCCAGTAGAAGCGCATGTCGAACAGGTGCATCGGCGTATCAGTTACGATGATGGTGGGGTTCTTCTTGCATTCAAACCATGCACTGAAGAACCTACAGAACCCTGCAGCTCTATACCCACAATACACAAAACGGTTTTTGAAGTAGTCTCCCCTTCCATCATGGGACTCTAGGCGCGATCCGGCACACGTAGAGGGAGTTGAACAAAGAGCCCTGGACCATCAACCTTAAACTCCAAGCCTTTCCGGCAACACGGTACGTATGGCCCACAGAAGCCAAGGTAGCACAGCACCACCAGCTAGAGCATTCGCAACAGGTCCGCCGACACAATACACGAGTTTCAAAATCAGGGTGCCCGTTTCAGTCAAGAGTTTTTTGGGGTTTCAGAACCCCAGTACTCCTAGCCCCGCTGCCAGAACCCAGCTACTATGCTTTCTCTGTATGTCGGGGCCCTTTTGAGATGGGTCTCATGGGCTCGACGCAGCAACCCCACAGGCAATTAAGGGTCTCAGCGATTCGAACCTCGAGGCGTAGGGCTTAGGCCATAGGGTTAAGGGTTCAACATTTAGCGTTCCATTTCGGCGACTTCAACCCACCCGTATTCTCTAGGCTCGCATCAGAATTAGAACACCCTCCCCTCTTCGTCCGAGACACAATGAACATGGGTGTCACTCAAAACCGAAACAACGACTAGGAAACCCTGCCCGACCAGCGACCCAGAGTACTAGAGCCCATACTCCTTTTTGGGCGGCCACCTCCGGTGCGAGCGTCGCAGTCGCGCTGACTAGCGTGGCATGGCGCCTGGCAACTGCACTTCGGGTGTAGGATTAATTGTTGGTGGTGTAGGGTTTGGGCAAGGGTCTCGATTTTGATGACATGCTTGTAAAACGTGTTGTATATGGGATTGGCTGCAGCATAGGCTCCCGAGAGTTTGACTCGCACCAGCGACCTTCTCCGTTCAGTCCAGCACAAGTACTTCAAAATTCTGCTAGAACAAGAGAGAGAGAGAGAGCGAGAGAGAAATAGGGAGAGAGAGAGAGAGCGAGGAATTATACATATATATATATATATATGTAAGCGTCTGCTTCACTATTCTGTGGCTTCTTGGCTTCAAGGGAGACTCTGGGGCAAGCGTTGCTGCAGGGTCCCTGCAACATCCCTCCAGAATCCGGGATTCCTCCCTGCTTTCTTGTATTCCCTGTTCATCTCCCTCTCAAGTTCGGGAAAACCGAAAAATAAAGCTCAAGCCTGGATCTCGGCTTGCTTTCTTGCGGTCTCAGCTTACGCTCTTCAGCCCCGAAAAAAGCCGAGGCTTCAGATGCCCCGAAGAACATCTCAGATCTCACCTCCTACCGTTTATTTCTTAGGTGTTTTTAACCCTTTAGGGTCCAGTCTGGAATTTGGAATGGAGGAACAGGATGTTCGAATATCATACGTCATCCCAGACTTTGTGAGAAGAGTTCCGGGCTGCGAAGCAAGGGAGGCTTGAAGAACAAGAACAAGCCTGGCAGAAACAAAGGGCCTCACATTTAGAATAAGGTTTTGGGGTATGATAAGGAACCGCCTTTGGCCCCTAAGTTCGTGGCAATGGTCACGGCAATGCTTTTGCATTGGCTAGCATGCCAGAATCCTCGCCACCATCACAACACCATCACCATCACCACCACCAACGCCTGCCACCCCGAGCCCCACCCCCACCACAACCGCCCTTACCACCAGCAGCAGCACCTGAAGCATCATCTTTGCCGTCATCATCACGACGACAGTGATCATCATCATCGTCATTATCACCATCATCATCATCATCATTTTACCCTCATCATCATCATCATCATCAACAACATCAATAGCCATCCGCATCATCATCATCATCATCATCATCATCATCATCATCGATGATGATGATCATCATCATCATCGATTGTGACGAACAGCTCTTTTGATGCAACTGGCGCGGTCTTCGGCTCCGCGGAAAACTTGATCACTAGGGTTCTTGCTCATGCAAATGAAAACTCTGGCGGGATTGATGGATAGATGGACAGGTCGACGGATAGATGAATCGGTCGATAGGTCGATAGATAGACAGACAGACAGACAGACAGACAGACAGACAGACAGACAGATAGATCAAGTAGATTAGCGGATCGATAGGTAGATAGACACAGAAGCAAACAGACAGACAGACAGACAGACAGACAGATAGATGGATAGATAGATAGACAGAGAGAGGAATAGAGAGATAGGCAGATAGACAGACACATACATAGGCAGATGGATTGATTGATAGATGGATTGATGGATGGATTTGGTAAGTCGTTCTGATGCATGGTCTCCTCATTCGGCGACCTCGGCCTCTTCGGCTTCCTCCTGGCTGTCGAGGGCCTCCTGAAGCAGCGAAACGGTCTCCGACAGGGCCTTCCGGCCCTCATGCAGCGCCTTCTCCTGGGCTTCTGAGAGTTGTGTTACGGTTTGCGGCTTCAGGGTTTTTAGGGTTTAGGGGCTTAAGGGTTTCTATGGGAGTTTGAAGGCTGCCTGATGTGGAGGGAGGGGTGGGCTTGCGCCTCTTCCCGCAAGTACTTCTACTTGCAGCACATTCGTCCTCGACATCATCATCATCATGATCATCATCCTCATGATCATCATCATCATCACCATCATGATCATCATCATCATGATCATGATCATCATCATCATCATGATCATGATCATCATCATCATCATCATCATCCTCGACCGTGTCATCGTCATCATCATCGTCGTCGTCGTCGTCGTCATCATCATCATCATCACTATCGCGGTCATGGTGATCACCAACAACATGTTAATCCTCGTCAGCATCATCAGGTTCATGGTCATTCTCATGTTCACCCTGCAAATCATCCCATCATTGCGATAACTGTTGAAGCCAATGGTTTTGGTGGTGGTTTGTTGTGGTTTGTCGTTGGGGTCGCTGTTGTCGTGACCGGTAGCAACATTCAACTCAGCTCTAGGTGGCAGTGGTCTAGTGGCGTTGGTTTTGCTTGTTTTTTTTCAGTGTCTGAGCGTCTGATGTCAAAAGTTATTCGGCATGCGGTCCCGACCTCAGCCGCAGGCCAAATGCCTCAGCAAATTATTCGGATCTCTTGACTCTTACCTTGCTGCTACTGCGACTCGCACGTCTCGTGCTGGTAGGTATTACGGTGCTGAAAGCTGCTGCAGACCTTTTTCTAGATTTCCTTCCAAGCGGCGTACAGCTACTTACTGCCCTGCCCAGATGGCGTGGGCAGCGCCAGCGGCTACATTTTTGTGGTGGACAACGGAGGCTTCGAGGTTCCTCGGGCGTCAGCGGGGCGGTGTCAGAACCCTGTTCAGCTTTTGACTTCGAGGTATCTCCTTAAAGCATAGTCTGGGAGTCCAGGTTGTAGGGGTTTGGATACACATAGGATGCCGCAACTCTAGGTCTATAGCCCCGAGCGAGCCCCAAGCTCTAAACTCTATACTGTCTATGCTCTATACTTAGAGCTCGAGAGGTCGTGTTTCAATCCAGGTTCGGCTGGACGGAACCCCGGTGGCTACGCTTGCGACCCGGCGGAGTTCGGCATTTCGGGTGCGAAGTTTGGTGCCCCACACCCCAGATTCCTGGGATGAAGCTAAGTAAGTACAGGTAAATAAGTAAGCAAGTAAGCAAGTCAGGAAGGCAGTATAATCAGCATAACACTCGCTCCTCTGGGTATTGAATTCCCCATTGTTTAGCTACCGTGCCTTTCTCAATCTCGGGTCCATGGCCTGGGCTTTCGGGCTCGGATTGTTGTGCATCAAGAAGCGACTATAGTGAGTATTTCTCGATAACTATTACTCTGACTAAGCTCAGGACTAGTATTGCTGTCGTGATCTTAAGTACACTTCTAGCAACAATCGCCGCAACGGCAACAAATACCAGTCGTCGTCGCCCTTTTCCTCGCCGTCGTCGTCGTCGTCGTCGTCGTCGTCGTCACAAGCCAGCACACCCAGGGACGAGGCTGCACCTTCGGCTGGAACTTCTTGATGAAGCAGCCACAGCGGCGGGATCCGCACTGGGAGGGGTGTCTTTTTTGGTTTCGGTTTGCTTGTGCTTGTGCCCCCATTTCTAGATTCTGAACCTTGCCTGCAGGCAAGAGCCTTAAATACATCCAAGGCCGAACACAAAAGGAATTCTCGGCGATCCCTTTCGAAAGCGCTAGTTGCAATCACGCGATCCTCTTAGCACCCATGCTGATGAAACCGAACCCCACCGATGCAGCAACGTTACACCTTGAATCGAAGAAACCCAGTCAGAGGCGGCGAGATAGTTGATGCCTGGACACTCGTTTACACAGTTTTGTCGAGTTCTGCCTTGTTGGTGGTCAGACTTCTCGACTGGAATCCGCAGCAACTTCTTGCTATCACCGGTCTCAATCAGAGCCGCCGGCAAGCTACCTCTGTCTCATTGTATGGGGCTTGCAGAACAGACCCTCCATCGTCCCTTCTGCTCTCCCCTACCAAAACAAACACTGGAGCAGAACAGTGCTCGTAGTTGCATGGCTTTACGGTTTCTGGTTGTAGAGTTTCAGTTTTATGCGCCGACGGATGTTGGGTGTCCATTAGTCATGAGTCGAGCTGCGAGGGTTTGGTTGGAGACTTGGGAGACATAGATCTCGACCTCTGTGCTACTCCTTGCCAGATCTACGCCAAGCCTCTTTGAGGCCCCAAGCCCCAGGTCGTCTTCGGTGTACCCGGTGGTGAAGTCCGGGCTTTGGGGTGCCGATGGCCAGAAGATCCAGCAGATGCTCACCGAGCGGATCAGGGACCCCGAGCCCGAGCTTTGTCGGCCCCCTTGATCCGAGTTCCTGGCCAGAGACGGCTGAGATTCCGAGTTCCGAGCACTCTTCTGAGATTGCAGGCGTAGGCGTAGAACCTCTCGAAGTGCCTCCGTCGCTGCATACGCCAGCCTTGCGCGCAGGAGAGAATACGCGAGAATCGTAAGCTCCTGGAGCCTCTTCTGCAAAAAGGTCAGAACCCACGCAGGTGCACATGAGCCAGCATCGCGGCCGGGCTACAGGTTTCTGGACTGTCCTGACGGCTTGAAGCTCCGTATATCAGTGCAACAAGTTTCCTAGAGGCAGAGACGTATTCAAAGCAAGAGCTCATTGCGAAGACCTCCAATCCTCGCGGCTTTTCCATGCCTCCCCAAGAGCTTCGCTTCTCAGTCGGAATTTTGGGGTCCCTTGGCCTCGGCCGGCAAAGGATTGCGTCTCCTTCTTCAAGGGCCTCCCGCCTCGGCAGATCGAACTGTTGAGCTCTGCCATTGTGGAGGAGTCGGCGCCCGGGCGGCAAACTAAGCACCCAATGCCGAACATCTGTGGCGGTCTGAGCTCCCAAACCCCGCTATCATGTCGAGAGATGAATCGAAAGCGCGATCGGAAGCGCCAGAGAGGCTGGATTGGTGACTTTGGCGGTTTTCTTGGTCTGTGCATTACTTCGATAGGTCCTCTGCTTCACAAGTTGATTGTTCAAGACTACAGTGATAGTACTGGTTCCTGGTGGTGATGATACTGGCGATACTGATGATGATGATGATGATGATGACGATGACGATGATGACGATGATGATGATGATGATATCGACGATGATTTAGACGATAATGACCGTGACGAGGATGAGAGGTGTGATGACGATGAAGATGCCTGTGGGGACTCACCATGACGTAGCAAGAGGGAACTTATTATAACGCTGCAGATGGTGGTGGTGGTGGTGGTGATGATGCAGGAGACGAAGGAGATGATGGTGGTGGTGTTGTTGTTGTTGTTGTTGTTGTTGTTGTTGTTGTTGGTGGTGGTGGTGGTGGTGGTGGTGGTGGTCAGCAAACTACCGTGTGTGAGATAGATGAAAGCCCACCATTGCAATCCCTCGTCTTCGCACGTTTCTTGGTCTCTTGTCTAGTCGTGTTGCTCGAAGCTGATGATTCTGCTGAACATGTTTCACAAAAGCAGCTTTGAAATTGAGGGTTGCGGAGGTTGGGGAACGGAGCGGTTGCCGGTTGTCCTCAAGTGACGCAGTCTGGTTCAGAGGGTTGATCAAAGGGTCCTAACATACAACAAGAGACCTCTACAATAAAACGACATCGCTTCAAAATCGAGTCTCCCGGCGTTGCCCTCCCTTTCCTCTCCCCTTCCTGCCCTACCCGGCTTCTCAATCCTCTTTCACAGCAACATACCATGCACTGTAGAACCCCAGCGACCTGGCATGTTTCCGTGCTTTCAGGTGCGCGCGGGTACGAAGGCACAGGGTGGCTGGGTACTTCGGAATTACGGGGTATTTTAGGACCTGGGGTTTGGGAAATTTTTGGTACCTCGATTTGGCTTGCGTGTTGTCCTGAGGTCTGCACCGCTGCCAGCGATGCTGCTGCTGCTGCTACTACGATTGTCACGATTGCTACTGTCTCGACTATGACTCCATGACGACGACCGCTGTCGCTAGTGCTGCTGCTGTCTTCCACCACCACAGCTACTGCTCGAATTACCACAACACAAGCACCACTACCACCCACTGCCATCACTACCACCACTCCCACCGCTCCCCCCACCACCACCACTACCGCCACTACCACGCCACCACTGCCACCACTCCCGACACCATTACCACCGCTATCTCAGCCGCTACCACCACACCTACTACTACTACTACTACTACTACTACTACTACCACTATTGCCAGGTAGTGGCCACTCCCACTCCGACTGCGACTACAACCACGACGACGACTACTACGACGACGACTACTACTACGACGACTACTACTACGACGACGACGACGACAGCGACGACAACGACTACTACACTTCTACGACTGCTAGTGCCAGTGCTTGCTTTGCTGCTTTTATTTTTGCTGCTGCTGCTGCTGCGGCCACTGTGGCTGCTCGACTACTTGGATGCGGGCCGGAGCCGAGGGTTTCGACTGGCCGTAAGCTTTCAAAGGCTCTGATGCCTCGACCCTACAACCAGTGAGCTCGTCAGGTGGTGGCCAAGGGCGATGATTCCACAGCCCTGTACTTCATTCGAAAAGGCATCGGTGATTTCAGTCCAGGTAGGTTCAGCGTGTTCTTCCTTGACAAGTGGGCACTGGGAGAGGGAATGCTTCGTGATTCACGCTCGGATGTCGAAACCCTGTTGTCATAAAAGCACAAACTCAGACGGAAAGAGATCTTCTTGCGAATGGAAGCCTAGACAATAAATCTGATGTTGGGGGCCGATCCCGGGAAGGAGGTTTTGCAAGCTAAAGTGCCTTTCCTAGCAGCCGAACAATGGAGCCCCGAGCCGTCCTCGTTTCGCAGATGCAGAACCAACTAAGGTCTAAGCTACTGCCCAGTCTGAAGGTCACTCCCCGGCTCTAGATCTCAAGCTCGCAGCCTGAATCCAAAACCTGATCCCTCAACTTTGAATCCTGAACCCTCAAACTAGACCTTCACAACTCGGAACCTTGAGAATCCCGACACTCTGAATTTGGCTCCGACTCCCCGCCAGCGAATCCTAAACCCCAATCCCTTGAACGTAACTGTATGCCGCAAGCCTTCAACAAGCTTGTCTTCCTGCCCTTTCAGGGCAGCTGCGAGTGGAGGAGAATCAGAAGGAACTGGGGCCAGGTCTGCCCTGGGGTTCGGCAATGTGGCGGGTTTGGGTTTGGGGTTCAGGTTTGGGGGATGTGGATTTGGGGTCTGGTTGGTCTCAAGGCATGGCACGTTTTACTCGATGCGGTTATGTGAGATGCTACTGCGAAGCAGCGAGCACCGCAGAAGTGTACGAGTGCTAGTTAGTATGTTGCATAGCCTGCAACGGGCAGCACCTGTTGCACGACGAGGTCACGGAATGCGTTTGCTTTGCACAATGTACTGTAATGTATCCAACAGGCAGTATGCAGAGTGCAACAGATGCTATGCAAATGAACCCCTTTACCGGTACCTGTTTCCATCGATCGATCTATCCAGCCTTGCATTCGTCCATGGTTTGTTTATCGGCCTACCAAGATGGCTAAATGTATGCATGCATACAGGAGTTCATATGTGTGCGCGTTGCGCGCTCCCAGTCCCCTCCTTTCCATGGAAATCTCGCCTCGTGCGCCAGCCTCGGTGCACCCCTGGTGGTTCAACGGTTCAACCGCCCCCCCAATGCCTTTTGAACCCACGTAGCGGAGCCGCGTGCGAAGGGGGGGGAGCCGCCGATGCTGGCACATATATAGAAGGACACCTAGACTGGAGACAAAGCCACTTTGAGTGGCACAAGCTGGCTTCCAGGCCCTCGTGCAACAAAGGACCTTGCATGGTCGAACCTTCGGAATCAAATGGACCAGACTGGGCTTACCGTTTAGGTTTCGGGTATTCGGGTTTAGGGTCCCGCGAACTCCATAATGCTCACAGGCGACTATTTCGGAGAGCGTGCGCTGCTCCACCGGGCCCCTCGATCGGCCACCGTGGTGGCCGAGACGGAGGCAACAAAAACAAGCTTCGCGATTTGGGTCGCAGGATCACTTAAAGAGACTAGATCTACCGTTCCCGAGCAACAGATAGCTCCCTAACCCCTTCAAACACTAACCCTCTGTACGGTAAAACATCGAGTCTTCATTCCATGTCAGCCACGCCTTGAACCCCAAAAGGCTCAAAAGCTCGAGCCTGATCACCCGACCCAGACATCGAACCAGAAGTAGGGTTTAGGGTTTAGGGTTTAGGGTTTAGAAGCCTGAAAAATTGCCAACATGTTTTTCCTTCAGGTTTCGTGTGACAAAATTTGCTATAGTTCACTCCAGCACCCTATTCTAACTATTTGCGCCCCCCAGGATAGACCCCATGCCCGTGTTGAGAGACGCTGGGTCGAAGCAGAAGCTTGAACTACTAGTGTTATGATTATTCGTCTAAGTACCATTCTTGTCGGTATTATGTTTCTTATTACTATCAGCATCTTGCGCTACCTCCGAAACTTGGCCCCCTTCCTCGATCGCGGCTGCTGCAGGCAGAGCTTCTGCGGCTTGAGGCGGAGAATTTGCGCCCTGTCGCCCAGGGTTCATAGTCTGGGGAGTTGGAAAAGGCTGAAAGGGATCTACTACAGGGCTTTTCATGACATGTGTTCAGCGTGTAGGACTCGGGCTCGTTTGGCCTGGCCCCAAGTGCCACAATGACATTAAGGTACTTGCATTGCATGTCGGCTCCCCATGCGCAACCCTGAGCCCTAAACTTGAGGTGTTTTGCGTGTTAACTGATGGCGCCAAGACGGGGGGCAGGATGGTTTCAAGTCGTGTCAGGGTGGCAATGGCCTCAACAACAATTCTAAACCCAAAGGCAAGCCAAAAACAATAAAGCATGTCAATATCCTGAACCCTGAGCTGAAGGAGCGTTTAAACCCAGGATCCTAAGCTCTTGCCTGTGAGGAGAGGGGGGGGGGGCTAGCACTCAAAGGAAACCTGCAAACAAAAGGGATGTTGGGACCCGCCGTCCATGCAGGTTTCGTCGTTTCAAGTTTTTGGGCATTGCAGTACATACGGGGCCCTCCTTCAAGCATCTGAGGAAATCCGTGGTCGGCCCGGACTTGCTCGTCTACCTTTCGAGGCGAGGTGCTTTTTGAGCGCAGGGAAAGTTGTGGCAGTACAGGTCACATTGTAGCAGTAGTCAGTAGTCACGGTCGTAGTAACAACCAGGAGCAGCAGCAGTCGTTACCCAATTGCTGCTGCAAAACCCCGAAGCCCCATCTTTTGCAGGCCGGACACCGCGAACCCCCTAGACCTTTAAAGCTACTCAACCCCTCGAGCTAAAAGTGAGCCGACATGTTTAGACCCCTAAGCCCTAACCCCTGACCGCGGAGCCTTACAATCCCGGATAGAACCCTTGAGCCCAAAGCAGTGGAAGCCCCTTACAATGGACAGAGCCTTCAACTGTGAACCCCGAAGCCTTGGGACGCTAAAACCCTAGACCTCACACCCTAAGACACTCAACCCGAATGGCACCTGAGACTTAAAAACCTAGAACTGTCGCCCCCCGAAACTCCTAAAGCCCTGCAACTCATAAGCTTCCTAAACTTCTACAACCCCACAAGCCCCCCAAAACCCTAGACCCTACACCCTGAACCCTGAACCCTAAACCCCGCTAAACCCTAAACCCTGAACCAAAAACCCTAAACCCTAAACCCTAAACCCTGAACCCTAAAACCTACACCCTACACCCTTGAACACCCGACCCATCCGAGGTCGCTCGTCCTCGAGGCGCTTCGGAGTTCCCAGGCCTGTGGCCAGCAGCCCGGCCGAGCCACAGGGCACCTTTTTGCTTTTGGTTTTGGGTTTAGGGGTTTAGGGTTTAGGGTTGAGGGTTGAGGGTTTAGGGTTTATTAGGGTTTAGGGTTTAGGGTTTAGGTGTTTGGGGTTTGGGGTTTAGGGGTGTAGGGTTCGGGGTTTGGGGTTTAGGGGTGTAGTGTTTGGGGGTTTAGGGTTTGGGGTCAGAAACATTGCCACATTTTTTCTATAGGGTTCCTTCTTCTTCTTCTTATTTTGAATATACTTGACAGGTGCCCCATTAGTTGGGTCTGCAGGTCGAACGGACGTTTCTGAGTGTACAAAGGTTGCAGGTGTGTTCTCTTGGTAGTGCGCTTTGGTGGAGGGTTTGGGTGTTGAGGCTTTAAGATTTCGAGAGTATGTGAAGTACACCATAGGCTTGAAGCCGTCATTTTGAAACTCTGACGCCTGGCGCATTTGCTTTGGTTTTGCCTTTGTGTCGCCGGTTTGTCTCTTTTTTTTCACGATCTTGATGGGTCTGCGGGCGCAAAGTTATAGACCCTTACCCGTGCCGTACGATTATCGCGATCATAGCCGTTTTCACGATCATCAACAGTGTTTGCGCCATTGCGGTTATTTCCTGTATTACAGAACGCTAACAAGCACAGATCATCACAGCAAAACATCTCTTGGCAGCAGCCTTGGTCGTCCGTGAACCAGTTGTGAATAATGCACCTCCCCATGACCTCCCCATCGTTTCTGCACATGCTGCAGCCGAGGTTCAATCTGTCACAGCAGTCGGCCATCATGAAGAACATGAAGATGATGGAGGCCTGGGGTTTCTCTCTCCGTCCCTGAGCCCAGAATCCTGCTCCGGAAGAGGTGACAGCCGGAAGCTGCATTGACGGCGCACGGCACAGCGACTTCCTTTTGCTGGCGTGCTGGCAGCACTCGTGGGTTGATGTCGCACTCGGCTTTCACCGTGTAGGACCTGCTCGGGTTGGAGTGTTTTTGGGGTAGGGGGAGGTTGAGGGCTTGCAGGCCCTGGGAGTCTACAGCTGAGGGTATTTGAGCGAAACGTTGAAGTTATGGTTTCGCGGCGGGCAATGAACCAATGCTCACCACTAAACGGGTAGTAATACGTCTGCAGCATCATGCAGATGCGGTCGACTTGTCAGCCAGAATATCTTGAATCCAGGCTCACCAGCTCATTTTTTTAAGTCCTACGCTACAGCCTTTGCGCAACTACCCGGTCAACTACCCATGGGCCTCAAACACAAATTTTGACTCTGCCGGGCGCCTGTGGGCTTTGTCGGGCTCAGGTCTCAGTTTCCGTAGGTCCCTGGGCTCCTGGAAGCCTCAGGTTTGAGGACCCAGGCGAATCTCAGGGGCTTTAGGTCCATGTTTCGACCTGAGGCGGTGATCCAGGGCAGCGTCTCCGATCCGACCTCAGCTGGATCGCTCAAAGATGCTCAAAGCTTATCCCCCAAACTCTTGTAAAGAGCAGGGAAGAGGTGTCTTTTTCGGCTAGGTCAACGAACCTCACAAAGCCTCAACTTGGCCCGCTGTTCTCCCCCTTCCCAAAAGTTCAGACCATCAATAAATCCAAGGACTTTCAGCTTTGCATACTACTTGTGTACCTTGCATTCCGAACTTCTCAAAGCAGCTCCGGAAATCCCGACTGCCGCAAAGCTCCACTAGGTCCTGAAAGCTCCTAAACCCCCAAAACAAAAATCCTGACATTCCCCACTAGAAGAGACTCTCAGTCCGGGTTCCCGGCTCCGTCCTTACTGTTGCGAAGCGAAGCACTGCGAAATCCAAGCCGCCAAGAAAATGCCATGAAGAGCGGGTGTTACCAGCCTTATTGCGTAACCATGAGTTACGTGCGGTCATAGCGCTGTATCTCATCGTAAAAGCACAGGTAAGGAAGACCCACATGCTGTAGGGTGTTGGGGCTTCAAGAGCCGAACGACCCCGTCCTCCACCCTCAAGAATCGACAACTTCTTGCGCAGGACCAGCCTTCCGGCCTTACCACCATTGGACGAGAGCCCCAAACCACAAATCGTGAGCCCTCGGCTGTTCAATGTATGTAGCCTTCAACCCTAAGCCGCTAAATTCTGAACTAAAGCCGAAACCCCAAACCCCGAACCCTCAACCTTAAAACCGGAACACTTGAAAAACCCAGAAACCCAAAATCAGAAACCCTGCACCCGAAAACCGGAAAACTAAAAAGCATCCGGAAACCCAAAATCAGACACCCTGAACCCTAAAACCGGAACACTCCACTAAAGCCCAGAAACCCAAACGCAGAAACCCTGAACCCAGCCGAGGACCAGGCCAACCCGGAGCAGCCAAACGTGCTGCCGGGCCAGGCCTTTGAGGCCCTCCCTGGCGGGCTAGCGTTTAGGGTTTAGGGTTCGCTAGGGT